GCGCTCCAGCTCAGCGGCTGGGAGGGTCGACGGCACGCATAGCAGTACGCACATGGCACCCCAGCCCCAAACACTAAACCCAGCAGCCCACCCGCGGTGTGCGTCACGGCGAGGTGGTGCCAGCGCCCCGGCTGCAGCGCCTGCTGCAGTGGCAGCGCCGCCTCGGCATGCTTTGGTGCCCAGCAGTGGGCCACCAGGTGCAGGGACGGGGCGGCGCCGGGTGTACCGCCCGTACCGCCGCCGTGCACCGTCCGGACCGCCAGCGCCACGCCGTGCAGCAGGCTCTGCGCGCTGTGCCCGGGCAGGCGCGGGCCGTGCTGGCTGTCCCTGTCTGGCTGATGGTGAAGCAAGGCATAGATGGCCTGATCAGAGGCCACGGCAGCAGCAGAGGCAGCAGCAGCCGCGGCGCCAGGGGCCTGCCCCTGCTGGGACTCGCGGGACCGCGCCGCGGCGCTGCCTGCCAGCTGCTCCACAGCTTCCCGCCCGTCCTCAAGCCGCACCCAGGCCGCAAAGCTGTAGCCGCCGCGGGGCAGCCGCACAAAGCTGGTGGCCGGGGCGCCGCCGCCGCCGCCCAGGCTTGCGGAGCAGACGATGCCGCTGGGCAGCTGCTGCTGCGCTGGGCGCCCGCCGCCGCCTGCTGCATCGCCGCCGCCAGAGCCGCCAGAAAGATTGAAGAAGCAGCGGGGGCCATCATGCGAGGCCATGGCGGCAAGAGCCTGCAGGGTAGCGGGCAGCGGAGGAGGGGCAGGGTGCAGGATTCATCAGCTGAGAGGCTTAAAAGCCAAAGCCTTTCAATCAGGCCGTAAATTAAGCCTTTATTAAGCCTTAATCAGCCATAATTAAGCCTTAATCAGCCGTAACAAGCGTTACTGCTCAGCACATACCTCCAGCAGCATGGCGGCATGCGGCGGTGGCACGTCGCCCGGCCCCGGCCGCAGCAGCTGCAGCACGGAGCGCAGGTCTCGAGCTGCGGCAGGGGGTGGGGGTGGGCGCAGGCTTGGCATGGAGCATGGCTGGCATGTGTCACTGAGCCAGCCAGCTGCAGACACAGCGTTTCAGGCCCGGCAGCAGGGCCAGCAGCAGCAGCAGGCGGCGGCCTCACCTGAGATGCTGTAGCTGCCGCTCAGGCGCAGCAGCGCCAGCAGCTGCTGCAGCAGCAGGCGCTGCTGCTGTGGGTCGCTGTGCTCGGGCAGGGACGCCTCCTGGCCTGCTGCAGCCGCGCCGCCGTCCGCCTCTGGGCCCTGCGGCGCCGTCGCATCCCGCAGCCAGGCGATGAGGAGGCCGTTGAGGCCAGCGCTGTCGGCGGCCGCCAGGTTGTGTGCGCCCTGCAGCGGCACGCCTGGGCGGCAGCGGGGCTTCAGGCGAACCCGCAGCAGGCAGAGGGCACAGCAGGATCCAGCCCAAGGCAGCCTGTGCCTGACCCAGCCCTGCCAAAACACCCCATGCCCCAACCATCCTACGTATGCCCCCGCCCAACCACGCACCTGCAGCAGCAGCTCCCGGAATGCGGCCAGCCCCCACAGCTGGTCCTCGCCGCCCGCCCGCCGCAGCAGCGCCAGCAGCAGCGCCAGCGCGGCCGGGTTGGCGACGGCGCTGCTGCCGAAGCGGGGCGCCGCGCCGGGTCCCGGCGGCTCCTGCAGGCAGCCGCACAGTTGCAGCGCGGGGATGGGTTGGCGGCCCCCCCTCACACCCATCAAGTCGACAGCTGATGTGCACAAGAGCAGAAGACGCCAGGGAGCAATGCTTGCTGAGCGGGGGGCGGCGCAAAGGTGGTACCTCCAGCAGTAGCCCCAGCGCGCACAGCAGCAGGCGGCGCGGCGGCTGCGTGCCGCCCAGCCGAGCCACCACCGCCTCCAGCAGCAGCCCGTAGCCCACGCTCTCCCTGCACGCCAGAAGGAGAAGGGAGGACGAAAGGATGGGGGCGGCTGCATGGAACCATGCACGAGCAAGCCACACAAGAAGGGCAGAACATAGCAGGAATCGGCGGGACGGCGGCAGCTGGGCTGGGCACTCACACCAAGGCGCAGCGGCTGGCCGGGCTGCCCGCCAGCAGCACGGTCAGGGTGTCCAGCACGCAGCAGCAGAGCTCCAGGCAAACGTCCTGCGGCGGCAGAGGCCGGGGGGCAGGGCGGCAGAGCGGCAGTGCGGACGCGTGTCGAGGAAAGGGGCCCGCCGCCGGTGCACTCTTGCCTGCCGAAGCAACGTCGCCATGGGCTGCTGTGGTTTCAGCTGCAGAGGTGTACTGCAGAATATTCATATGGTCGCACCGCTGGCAGTACCGCCGGCATCATCTCACCTGGGGATACTCCTCGTTCAGCACGTTGCACACCTGCAGGAAGCACTGCGACTGCGCAAACAGCTGCTGGGCGGCGGCCCGGCCAAAGCCGCCGCCGCCGCCGCCGCGGGCGCCGGGCCGGGGCGTGGCCGCCTCGCCGCCCTCCACCGCGGCGCGCATGCCGCCCAGAAGCTCCAGCAGCAGCGGCACGCCCAGCTCCCGCCAGCGCCGCACCGCCGCGGGGAGCGTCTCTGCGGGGGCAGCAGGGCAGGGGCAGCGGCGAGCATGCTAGGAATGCTGGCCCAACAGACCGGCCGCCTGTCTCAGGTTGCCGAGCAAGCGTGCTGGGTGCAGCCCAGGTGCCTGCCCCTGCCGGGTGCAGCCCAGGTGCCTGCCCCCTTGCCTCCCTTCACCCCACTTCCTATTGCTCCCCGGCCTGCCCGCACCTGTGTACTTGGAGAATAGGGCGGCCTTGGCCAGCCGGTCATCCTCCCCCGCCGGTGCCATCTGCATCAGCAGCAGCACCTGCAGGCAGGAAGAGAGGCGGGCGGCGAATGCTCATCCATGCCATCCAGCAGCGCCAACACCAGAATTAAGTTTGACATACATTCAAACAACTTTGGTTGAGGATATTTTGCAAGTTTATTCTAACCAGCCCCTGGCCTTACACGGCAATGCCTTGGCATAGGCCGCACGTGGGCAGAGCCAAGGGGCAGGGCTGGGCCTCTGCTTGTACTTGCTGCCCCAGCTGCACACGCAGGCACGCGCAGGTAGGCAGGCACGCGGCAGGCCACCGGCGGGCGGGCCTGCAGGCGCTCACGTTGTCGAGCGCCAGCTTGCGGCTGGGCGCCGGCGGGCGCAGCAGCAGCGAGAAGAGCGCCGCCACGGGCTCCCAGGATGCCATGGCATCTCGCTGCAGGCTGACGTGCATGCTGCGGGGCAGCGAGGCGGGGAGGGGAGGGGGTGCATGTGTGATGCGGGCTGCGCAAAGCACACCCTATATATATACCATATGATAGGTGCAGGTAGGTCTGTGTGCGGGGGTAGGGTGGAGGTCAGTCCTGACACTGGCACGCAGGGCAGGGCAGGGCAGGGCAGGGCCCCATCCCCACCTCATGAATGCGCCCAGCAGCTCCAGCGCGGCGCATCGAGACTCCTCCAGCGCCCCAGCCTGCGCCGCCGCGGGGCCCGGCGCGGGCGAGCCGCCTGCCAGGCCCGCCTCCGCTGCCTGCTGCGCTGGCTGTACCGCTGGTTGTACCGCCTGTCCCGCCTCCCCTTCCAGCGCCAACTGCTGGGCCAGCAGGCGGGGCAGCAGCACCAGCAGCTGGCGCTCCCGCAGCGCCGCCAGGCTGGTGGCGGGGGCGGCGCCCAGCAGGCGCAGCAGCAGGCGGCAGGCGGCCGCCACCTCGCCGTGCCGCGCCGCGTGCTGCTGCAGCAGGCGCAGCAGCGCCGACACCTCCTCCAGGTTGCTGCTGCTGGCGGGCAGGCTGGCTGCCGCCTCCAGGCAGGCCAGCACCAGCTGGCGCAGGCGCTCGCGCTGCAGCAGGCGCCCCGCGGCTGCCACGCCGGTCGCCACCGCGCCGCCGCCCTCGCCGCCGGCCTCCTCGCCGGGATGCTGGCCCCAGAAGAAGAAAGCGGGGCCGAAAGCCATGTCCCACAGGCCTGCAGGCGGGCAGGGGCAGGTAGGCAGGCCTGCAGGCTGGCAGGCAGGTAGGCAGGCAGGCAGGCAGGGAGGGAGGCTGGCTGGCAGGCAGGCAGACCGGGTTCCTGGCCCTGCCGCTCACACACCAGGCCAGCGTGCCGCTCCAGCAATCAATGCCAGGCCCCACCTGCCGCCCTGAGGGCCTTGAGGTTGCCGACGACGTCGGCGCTGCTCAGGGCGGCGGTGGCAGCAGCAGGGGAGCCGCCGGCGCCGATGCTCCACTTGCCGCTGCCGCTGCCGCCGTCGCCGCCGCCGCCCGCGGGGTGCGGGGGTGGGTGGTCGGGCGGGGGGCAGGCCCCGGGGGGCAGCAGCGGCAGCAGCCGCTGCTCCCGGCCCAGCAGCCGCGCCGCCAGCAGCAGCGCCTGCTGCTGCAGGCCGCAGGCGCAGGCGCCGCCGTCGGCGGCGGTACCGCACAGCGCCGCCACCGCGGCCTCGTGGTACCGCCTGGCTGCCGCGCTCGCCCCGCCGCTGCCCGTGGTCGCGGCGGCCAGCGCCAGCGGCCGGCCCGCCGCAGGCGAGGCGCGCCCCTCCTCGCCGCCGTCGCCGGCCCCTCCTGCCGCCGGCTCGCCGTCGCCCCCCGCCGCCGCCTCGTTGCCCGGCGGCCGGAAGGCGGCGAACAGCGCACCCAGCAGCAGCGGCAGCAGCGCCTTGCCGGCGCCGCCGCCGCCGCCGCCGCCTGTCAGCCAGCCCCACAGCGCCTGGAACAGCCGGGCCAGCTCTGTGGCTGGTGCGCCGCCGGCCCCGGGGCTGCCGCCAGACGGCGGGACAGCTGGCAGTGGGGTGTAGCTGTCGCCGCCATCAAAGGTCAGCGCGGTCCACTGCAGCAGCTGTGTGAGGCGCGGCTCCAGGCCCTGGCGGCGCGCCAGGCGCAGGCAGCTGGCGCCGGCGGCGGCGCCCGCGCGGAAGCTGCCCCCCAGCGCCCGTACCGCCAGCAGCTGCAGGGACAGCTCCTGGTCTGCGTCCCGCAGCCCGCCGTCGCGCCCCACCCGCGCGTAGGCCCCCGCAGCGCCTCCCAGCAGCAGCTGCTCCCGGCCCTCTGCCGCGGATCCCTCCTCGCCGTCGCCGCCGCCCGCCGCCGCCGCCGACAGGTTGCTGCCGCTGCTGGCGGCGGCGGTGGAGGGCGGCAGCTGCTGGTCGGCGGCCGCCAGGGGCCACCCCAGCAAGCCCACCAGCGTCTCCAGCGGGCGGCCGCCGTTCTGCTGCAGCAGCGCGGCGGCGGCCGGGACGGGGCTGGCGGCTGAGAGGGCGGTCAGGCACAGCAGCGCTTGCTGCTCCAGAGCGGCGGCGGCCGCCGCCACACCCTGCTGCTCCTGCTGCTGCCGGTGGTGGGGGTGTGGCTGTCCGCGGCCGGCCTGGCCGGCGCTGTGCAGCCGCACTTGAGCCAGCAGGGGCAGCAGGTCGCAGCAGCGGGCGAGCAAGCCGCGGTCGATGAGCGGAGCGACGGCGGCCGCCGTCGCCGCCGCGGCCGCCGCCGCGGCCGCCGCGGCCGCCGACTGCTGCGCCGCCGCCTGCGCCGCGTGGCTGGCCGCCTTGCTGCCCGCCCTGCTGGTCAGCACCTTGGCCTGCTGCTGGTGCACAGCCTCCAGCTCAGCATAGGCTTGCACCACCCCCAGTGCCGCCTCCAACAGCAGCAGCAGCGGCTCCAGCAGCGGCTGCAGGCACCGGCCGCCGCCGCTCGCGCCGGCCAGGCTGCCGCTGCTGCCGCCGCCGGCGCCGCTGCGCACCGCCAGCACGCCCGCCGCCGCCTGCAGCTTCTGCGCCAGCTGGCCGACCACCTCGCACAGCGCGGGCAGCAGGCCCAGCGCGCACAGCAGCGCGCGGTTGTGGGGGCTGCGCAGCAGCACGCGCAGCGCGCGCAACACGGGCAGCCCGCCCGCCTGAAGCAGCGCCTGGTGCGGCTGCGGCGCAGGCGGCGCCTGCCGCGCGGCCGCGCCGCTGGCGCCGCCGCCGTCGCCGCCGCCTGCCTCCTCCGCCTCCGCAGCCTCCCCCCCGGCCTGAGGGGGCTGCTGCTCGCTGGCCCGGTCCTCATCGGCTTCGTTCGCTGCGGCTGTGGGTGCCTCCCCTGCCGCCGCCACAGCCGCCGCCACACCAAACTGCTTGGGGATGCGCTCCAGGCACTCCACCGCCGCCGCCAGCAGCGCGCGCGGGTGTCCGCCGCTGCACCCCATCACCAACTGCAGCTGCGCGCGGCCGGCGTGGGCGGCGCCGGCCTCGGCGGCGGCGGCCGCCGCCGCCGCCGCCGCGCGCGCCGCCACGATGGCGGCGGGGTCTGGCCGCCAGGCGGCGCACACGCGGGCGAAGCGGTCGAAGAAGCCGAGCAGAATCTCCCGAGCCACCTGCGGTACCAAAGGAGGGGCGGGCGGGCATGCAGGTAGGTGAGCGGGTGGGCGGCCAGGTTTGTCTGGGGAGGGGTGGGCAGGGATGCCCTGGGGCGGGGCTAGAGAGGCCTCTCTAGAGCGCTCGCTCCACACGGCTCCACCCACACACACGGAGCATGCGGCAGGGCGTGATGCGGCCACACCCAGCCGTGAGCCGGCCACCGCTCGACAGAGCGTGATGCAGCAGCGAGGCCCCACCTCCCTGTCAAACTGCAGCGCCCGCTCGTAGCTCTGGAACAGCGCCGCCATCTCAGCCTCCTCGCGGCACGACTCGCTGCAAGCACTCGGTGGCGGCAGCGGGCGGCAGGCGGCGGCGTGGATGGCTGGCGGCGTGGACGGCCGGCGGCGCAGCCAGGGGCGGCGGTGAGCAGCAAACCCCAGACGCCGCGCCGGCCGCCACCACTCCCCGCCCACGCACGCTTCCCCCAGGCCGCAGACTCACTCGAAACGGACGTCGACCAGCTCATCGGCGGCAAGCTCGCCGCCGCCGCCGCCGCCGCCACCCGGCCCAGCGGAGCCCGGCCTGCCGCCTCCCGGCTGCTGCCCGCCGCTTCCCAGCAGTCGCTGGAAGAAGCTCATTGCGGGGCTATCAATCAAGCATCCCTCTGCAAGACGTCTGTGATCAGATGGCGCATGTTGCCCATACGGTCTCTGGGACCTCCAATCATCATTAACGCAGCTCTGAGTGTGTGTGTCGGTCAGTAGGAGCTCATTTCGGCAAGCTTTGACATGGCTTCCCCGCCAGCTCAGCTCGGGATCGCACCAATTGAGCGATCGGCGCTCTTTATCTAATGGCAACACGATCGCTGTTTATCTGGGTGGTGCATTCAGCCTCTGGACTCTCAGGTCTCGCCCCCCAAACTCCCGACACCTCGCTGCAGCGTTTCGCTGGCTCCCCTGAAACCCTACACTACGTCGGCGGAGGAAACGGATCCCCTCCCTGCCTTCCTGTCCAAGCCGAGACAGCGGCCCCCCCATCACCCCAACATGAGCGCCCCTGCGGGAGGCGAGGGAGCCCCCGGCGAGGAGGAGCGCGCTCAGGCGCAGCTCCAGCGGCACAAGGCGCCGCCAAGAGCCTTGCTGGTGTGCGCGGAAGACACCGCTGCGTCGGCGGCGGCTGCCGAGTAAGTGGGCGCTCCCCAGCGACCCCTTCCCTCGTAATCCAGTGAGGTACCTGACAGCCATCGGCAGCAGGCACCTGGGCGCTCACACGCAAGCCGTGCCTGCAGATGGGCGCTGGAGAACTTGTATCGTGACGGCGACGTCGTGCACATGACGTGAGCGGGTTGTGACGCGACATGGGGGACACGTAGGGCATCACGTGACCGCGCCTGCGCATGCCCCACGTGTTTCCGGCCGAGGGCGCCAGCCTGAGGGGCACCAGCCGAGGGGTATAGGGCGTCCCCCGAACGTGTCACGCCCGCTGCGTGCCAACGAACCGCCTATCCATCCCGCGTCACCGGTGCCCCGGCACGGCAGGGCGTCCGGCGCTGGGGCCCACTCGCTTGCCTGCTCATGCACCCCCCGATGCAGCTACGTGGTGCGCTGCCTGATCCCCAGCATGGAAGTGTTCCACGGCCTCCCCGGGACCGCCTACAGCTTCAGGTGAGGAGCCACCACACCAGGCTGGAGAGTCGCGCTGCGCAAAGCTGCGGCGCAGGGTCTGTGCGCGTTCTCGACTCCTCTCCTCGTGCCCGCCGCCGCCCGCGCCAACCTCCGCCTCTGCGCCGCTCGCGTGCGTGCAGCCAGCCCGGGCAGGAGCACAAAGAGCAGCACCTGATCAACGATGCCAAGAAGCGGCTGGAGGCGCGGTGAGCGCTTGCGGCGGCTTGTGCGGCAGCCTGCACACTGCTCCAGCCTGCCCGCGGGAAGGGACAGGCGCTTGCAGGGTCCAGGCCTGGGCCAGGCACACCGGCGGGAGCCCACCTAACCAGCCACTCCTCGCATGCCCCAGGTTCCTGCCGCTGCTGCGCCCGCACCTTGTCCCGTACCAGCTGCACCTGTACGCCGAGCGCTGCGACTGCAGCGAGGCGCGCGTGTGCGAGCTGATCATGCAGTGAGTGGCGGCGGCACGGCATGCTGCGCTGGGTTGGCCGGCCCACAAGGTGGTGTGCTGGCGTTTTGGCTCTCCAGCCTGCCGGCCCTCGGCTGCGCCTGTGCCCGCAGGGACATTGAGCAGCGCGACGCGGCGCTGGTGATCCTGGCGGCGCACAACAAGGCAGGCACAGCGCCGCCGCCGGCTGCTGCTGCCTGGGGGCGTGCCTCCTGCGCTTCTCTGCGTCGTGTGTACGCCCGGTCCGGTGAGCTTTGCATCCTTCCTTGCCCTTGCCGGTTTTGGTGCAGCCCGGCACGCAAGAGGGCATCGGCAGCGTGGCGGACTACCTGTCCAAGAACTGCCGCCGCCCCACGGCCATCGTGCGACCGCACACGCACGTGCAGTAGCGGCGTAGCGGCGGCGGCGTAGCGGCGGCCCCGCGACCTGGCGTGCCCTCACGCTCTGAAAATCGGACTCCGCGCTGGCATTTTGAGTTGCATAGACGTTGCACATGCTGGCCAGCCGGCTGTTGTAGTTTGGTTGGCAACGGGGCGTTGCTAGTTGGACGCAGGGCAGTGGGGGCGGCGGCGGGAATAGGGAAGCATGGCCGGCGGGCCAGCCCCCGTACCACCCCCCCAAGGGCTGGGACGGTCTGCAGCCGTCTGTTGAACAGCCTGGGATGTTCTCTCGAGCTCTACACCTGTCCGCTTCCAGCCGCAGCTGCCGTCGGAAGCTGCCCCCCCGTGCATGTGGGCACCCAGCCCATCGCCGTTGCCGCTTTGTTTCTCGCTTTAGCACCCATGCGTGACCTCCACTGACCACAATTGCTCACCTCAGGCTCCACAACGAGCCCGCTGCTCTGCACAAGGCGCAGAATGAGAGTCCTCCGACTTTTACTATCCCTAGCGGCCCTCGCCCTGCTTGCACAAGGTGAAGCATCTCCCGGGGCACAGTGGGCAGCGGTAGCGGGTCGTCTGGCTTGCACGCCCAGTTGACCAGCTCCGATCAGCTCCATTCCCTGCCTGGTGCTCCCCGCAGGCGCTCCAGCCACTGCAGCTAGCGGAGAGGGCCAGGAAGGCTGTTTAGCGTTCACCGGCGGCAAGTGAGTGCGCCGCCCAGGAGCGGACACGCCCGGACCGTGCCGCCGCTGCCGCCGCCGTTGCTGTGGTGCCGGAGCCTTTGGGAAAGCTTGGCGCCATCAGGGGCCCCATCTCACCCAGCTCACTGTCCCCATTGCTGCAGGTGCACGGCATGTAGATCTGGATTTGCTCGTGACCCGGTGGCGGGCATGTGTATAGAGGTGAGAGCTAGCAGGCCATCGCTTGGGCACCTGGGCTCATGCCCGCAGCTTCTCCCTCGACCCCCTCTTGTTCTGCACAGCAACAGCTGACCCTGGCCACCCGCCCCTCCCTCCTCTCCCCTGCCGCAGTGCGGGCCGCACTGCAAATCCTGCTGGCATAAGCGGCCCAGCTCCTGCATCCGCTGCCTGCCGGGCTGGTTTGCCAGCCGCGGCGGCAGCGGGCAGTGCGCCGAGTGCCCGGCGCACTGCAGCTCATGCAGGGCCGGGCGGGCGGACGGTAGAGGGTACTGCAGAGCGTGCTACATTCCCTACCACGCTGTGCGCGGCAAGTGCGTGCTGATACCCACAGGCGCACCCACTGCCACGGAACGACGGTGACGCTCCGGCACCAACTCCTTCACCTCCCCCAGCTGACTACCATGTCCTCCATACATCCAGCCTTACTTGTTCTTTCCATTGATCATTTCATCACTGACCATCCGACCCCCAACTCTGCCACTTTCTTCCAATCCAATCACCCGCGCGCATGTTCAGCCTGCACACCCACTAGCCCTCGTGTACCCTCCGCGCCGCTTTCTGTGAAGAGGAGAGCCCCCGGAGCGCCCCCTGCTGCACAATCCGCTTGCTTCCCGGCCTTGCCATGTCGACACATGTAACCCAGGGCTGCTGTGAGCGGCAGTGGCAGCTGCAGCAGTGTTTGATTTACAGCGGCATGGGATTTGAGACCGGCCAACCAAGCCTGCCGCAGTTTACAGGAATCTACAATGCAGCCTAAGCCCCCGGCGGCCTGTCGGCCAGCGCGCTGGCGCGTCGCAGCCGCTGCAGCTTGCTGCTCTCCTTGAGCAGCCGGATCTGGTGGGCTTGGTCCTCCAGCCCGCGCGCCGCCGCCGCCTGCGCCGCCGATATGTCAGCCAGCGCGCGCCGCACGTCGCCCGCGGCGGCCGCCCGGCCCCGCCCGCCCCGCGGCGTCCCAAACTCCAACACAATGTCCCCCTGCTCCTCGCCGCCGCCGCCCGCGGATGCCGCTGCCCCGGGAGCCGCTGCGCAGCCGCCAGCCAGCGCCAGCACAGATTGCGCCAGGCTCTCCAGCTCCCGCTCCAGCTGCGCAGGCACACACAACCGCAGGGAGGGGATCTCAAGAGCAGCGGGGGCCTGATGCCGATTGACAGCCGCGTGAAATGCTGCCGCGGTCGGGCCCCGCGATTCCTGCGGAGCAGGGCACGCATCGCTGCACGCCGCGCCCACCACCCCCATCCCATCCCACGCCCCACCTGCTGCTTCTGCTGCTCCGTGGCCGCCAGCGCATCTCTCAGCGCCTCCTCGGCTTCAAAGTCGGGCAGGCCCTCCTGCACACAACGGGGCAGGGCACCAGCACAGGGCCAACATGCATCACGTGAGGGGGAGCCCAACCAAACCGGTGTGCTGCAGGGCACCAACAGCGCCGGCCACACCAGGCCATGCAGCCGCCCCGGCTGGCCGGCCCACGCACCTGCCCGTTGGCCTCCCGCAGCTTGGCCAGCTCCTGGGCCACTCGCTCGTACCGCACCTGCACCGGCAGTGCCATATGGTACCTTTCAGCAGCACAACACACTCTCAAACACTCCCCGCAGCGCCGCACGCCGTGCTGTAAACACCAACCCTTGCCAGCCAGCCGTTGCCAGCCAGCAAGCCAGCCAGCGGCCCGCCAAGCTGCCAGCAAGGCCCCAGCGCAAGCTGCCACCCAGCCGGCTGCTCGCCTGCGCGCGGTGCTGGTCGATGCGCAGCCTGCCCAGCTCCTCCCGCAGCTGCCCGTTCTCGTCCTTGATCTTTTTGTGGTACTGGATGCGCTGGTTCAGGTTCTGCTGGCCTGCAGGGAGAGATGTGTCACAAGTGACACAGCGTGTGTTGCAGGCATGAACCTCCGGGCGGGGTGACAGGGATGAGAGGCAGGTTGACAGGGGGGTAGGGGTAGAGTGTACCGTTGGTGACATCACAGGCGGACCAGGCTGCTGCACCACCTCTCGGCACGACCGCGTCCTGCTGGGGCCCATCACCCTCCCCCCCCCCCACCCCACCCCCCCACCCACCCCCTGACACACACAC